AGACGATTCTTTCAAAGGGCTCAAAAGGTGGGATGAAGAAGGTGGGGTACAGGAGATAAGTCCCAATATAATAGAGTATATACTAGGGATCCTTTAACCCACCTACCTTCATCCCACCTGTTGAGCCCCCTGACTCTTGGCCACTGACCAACTGTCGTAGTTGAAGCTCCTTGTCCGCTTCTCCTCCAGAGCCCTACTCTAGGGTTTTGACGTGTACCTGAACCCCAAAAGTATGTAAAATAATAGCCCTAAACCCATAATAACAGCCATAAAGGCCATTATTTTACATACTTTTGGGGTCTAGGCAGGGTTTAGGGTCTTAGGCTTTGGGATTAGGACTTGGGGGCGTGGTTTTTTGAGTCACAGAATGTCACGAGCTCAGGGGGGTGTGAATCTGCTACTGCTGGGGGTTCTCGAAGACTTCGGGTCATGCATCACAACAGGAAGGTGCAACGCAAAGGCTTCCATGCTGCACTTAAAGGCGAATCAGATGAACGTCAATTTGGAAAGTAAAAGGGGTATTAGGATGTCAGGTTTAGGGTCCCGGGGTACAGGAATGTGCTTTAGGGTTCAGCGTTTCGACATTAAGCTTCAAGGCTTTTAACGTCTGAACTTCTGAACTGGCTCGAAACAGCATGCAAGGAAAAAGGAGCCGATCCAGAACGCTCGCGGTGCTTCTGGCTATGGCCGTTCTTGCTGCTGTGCGAGAGCACGGTTAGACACCAACTCACCGCAACAATTCCTTCCCATTGGGGCTACCAGAGACTAGTGGATGTGTGGAACTGGGATCACAACGGAGGGTACGTGGTCGGAGAAGCATTTTTCGGAGTACACGTTTGACCAATGGCTATAGGAAAAAAAAGATGCATACCTCTCCGTCTGCCTAGAACCAGAGTTCCATCCTTAAAAGCAGGTTTATCAACTACTCCATACCTGGGTCTTCACGGGGCGATCCGTAGATTTGACACTGGTCTTGTGTAAGGTATGTGAGCCATAGTCTAAACTCCTAGTATCCCCCTTAATAGGCCCTATAACAGTCGCCCATATAATCCCCTATATAACCCCCCTTTAAGGAGTTTAGACTATGGCTCATGTGAGGCTTTCTCCCCTTGGGGATTTTGGGGTCTGAGCTCCATAAGGAGAAAACCTGATCCTGCTTGTTTGACTCATGCTGCTGGACGAGTTGAGTGGCGCTCAGAAAGGTGCGTGAGGGTTGTTGTTTTGGTGGTTGTACACTCTTCTTACAAAACACGAAAACAAAACCAGGATACAAGCGCACTTGAAGGGAGCTGCATCCCTATGTAAAACACTACTCCGATGGATCCCCAACAGACCCATACTCCTATCTCAAGAACTTTTCACGAAGTCGATTGCCATTCCTGTGACCAACCAGAAATCATGAACTAGCTTCCCCCAAACTGACGAGGAATCCCATATGAACCATTGTCTAAACTCCCAGCACCACCCTGAATAGCCACTATGATGCTCCACTATATGATCCTCTATATAACCCCCTAACCCTAAACCCTAAACCCTATGTTATACAATCCCCTATGATATATAACCCCTCCCCCGGATAATCCCCTCAGATGACCCTCTTTAACAAATTTGGACAGTAGCTCAGCCCCACTTTCAATCAAAGTCTTGAATGAGCACCCTGAACCTTTAGAATTCAGGGGTTAGGCTCTCGGGTTTGGGGTCTAGGGTTTAGGCTCTAGGGTGTAGAGTTTACAAAATTTCGGGCTTAGGGTGTTCCATCTCGGTTTGGGGAGGCGTGTTTGAATGCTTCTACATTTTTTGAAGCCTTACACCCCCAACCATCCATCCCAGAACCTTGCAACGACACAAAGTAAATCCTCAAATGCTATGCCCCAAAACGCCTACGCCCTGAATAGTTGAGTAGTATTTTCATTTGCTTCTCCATTTTCCCTACATGATCCTATGAATCTTCTTGTGAAGGGACTCCTATATGACCCATGGTTTTAATGCAAAGTAAGACGGACATCAGTCATGATCATGGATGAGGTGAGACACTCCCCCAGTGGACACTCAATATGTACACGCACCAATATCCCCAAGGAACCCTATATACTCTCGCACAAAACCATAATAAAAACCCTAAACTTGAGGTGTATTCGAGGCACCTGATACCAACCAAACCCTTGCCCGCACGTCACCCCAAACTACGAAGTAGGAGAGGTCTTTTCCGCGGCTCTCGGCTGGCCCAGGTTAACCAGGCATAAGGATTTGCTGGCATCCTCCTCCTGACTCAAACATTTTACTGTTGAGGTAGGTTTCAGCTAGGGATAGGGTTTAGGGATGAAGGTTTAAGGATTACGTAGTGATTACAGGGATCAGGGCTTCGGAACGCGTAGGGGTTAGGGTTTGGGATTTAAGCTGTTTCCCTCCGCGCCAATAGGATCAGGGTTCGGGGTCTAGGGCTGAAGATTTAGGTGAGCTTAAGCGAATGGGGTTTAGGGCTTGCGGATCAGGATGGTGTTCCTGTCGAGTTGCTTCTAGGCAGTCTATTCCTTCTAGGCTGACGTGGGGAATTCAACACTTTTACAAGTCCTTGTGCTCCCCGAAGGGCCTATTCAAAAACTATCACTTCCCCCCTCCCATGAAGCAAAAAACATTGCCCGACATCATCCGGCCTCCAAATTCCAGAACCCTAGCACCAAGTCAGCAAGCGGGTGCCCGCGGCGGAACAGCGTTGAGTCACAGGCGGTCATGCCTTGGGAGAAGAGTTTCTGCAGCTTCCCGCACCTGGATAAGTCTCAAAAAGTAGCCCTACGGAATGTCTGGTTATATAGGGATAATAGACAAGAAAATGGAAACTACTATAGTATATTGGGGTTGTATAGGGCTAATGGAAAAGAAAAAGGACACTGCTATAGTACATTGGGGTTATTCAGGGATAATGGCAAAGAAAATGGACACTACTATAGTATATTGGAGTTATTTAGGAATAATGGAAAGCAAAATGGAAACTACTGTAGTATATTGGGGTTATATAGGGCTAATGAAAAAGAAAATGGACACTACTATCGTATATTGGAGTTATTTCGGAATAATGGAAAGCAAAATGGAAACTACTGTAGTATATTGGGGTTATATAGGGCTAATGAAAAAGAAAATGGACACTACTATGGTATATTGGGGTTATTCAGGGATAGTGGAAGAGAAAATGGACACTACTATAGTATATTGGGGTTATCTAGGGATAATGGCAAAGAAAATGGACACTGCTATAGTACATTGGGGTTATTCAGGATAGTGGAAGAGAAAATTTGACACTACTATAGTATATTGGGGTTATCTAGGGATAATGGCAAAGAAAATGGAAATTTCCGTCATAGGATATAGGGGTTGTATAGGGACAATGGAAAAGAAAATGGAAACTACCATCGACAGTAGAACCTCCCTAACACTTACAGATCGCAAGAAAAAACCAACATGTTGAGAGACTCCCTCTATGATACGGCAGGTGCGACCATACTACGACACCGTCAGTCTAGCCCCATTGCATTCCTTGCATCGGGTCCCTGATTTTCGACAAACATCGCACCTGAAGCCGAAGAGTTCAGCACCCACGAAGGGATGGGACTCCTCCATTGCTGAGCAGCCTCACAGGTGGCAAACACCGATCAACTGTTCTCATAGTTCTTGGATCTAAGGGTTGCCTTTTTGTTTGCCTGTGTATAAGTTATTATACACGCATATCTACACACATCAGTGAATGCGATATGACAATTACTTATACATAAACCCCTGCAAACACATACACAAATACAGCTACACAGACACCTATCTACAGCTAACTTTATCTTGTCTCAGGTCAACAAGCCGGCGTAAAAATCGCTACATATACATATGTACGGATTCAGTACTGTGGGAAGTCAATTCAAGCTACCCCTATACACTCGAATGACCCCTTTCATTCATCTCCCTTAAACCTACTAGATCCAAGGGTCCCTAAGAGCAACCCCTGTGTGCGAAACCGCACGCCCTTAACCCTAGACCCTTTTTGCTAACCCCAGACCCTAAACCCTGAACCCTCAACCTTAAACGCGAAACCCTAAACCCTAAACCCTAAACCCTAGGATCCCTGGGAGACCATGCGGTGGTACCCCGAGCCATAGGCCTTTCAGAAGTATAAAGCGGCCAAGAATTGGTTTTGGCACAGAGACGGTGGCGAGACCTCGCCTAGGATAGTGCTACACCGCAGAGTTTAGGGTCTAAGGTTTAGGGTATAGAGTTCACAGTTTAGGATTCAGAGTTTGTGGATTAGGCGATTCAAAGTTTAGAGCTGAGGTTTTAGGGCGTATGGTTTGGGGTTTAGGGTTTGGAGTTTAGGTATTGTTTAACAAGAGGATTTTGGTTACCCCCAGCCCTGGACTGGTGACAACTTCAGGGTCATATGTTAGTTCTGGATGTGGGAATTCAAGCTCCTTTGTTACAGCAAATGTACTATGTCACAACTGCTAAAGTATAGTACTATCACAAATGCCCGTTCTTGTTCTGCATGCGCGGTTCAAGCACACACTTTCGCCGAGGCACTGTTCAACATGATCATCTTCCAGTCTTTACTGGGTTCAGAACTTCAGGTAAATTCCACACACAGCCAGAGTGTTACTGAACTGCAACGCAGTCTCGTGGAGAAGTGGCAGGCATAGCGCGTTGGTACCGGAAGTGGCTCCCCGTGACTTGCTAGCCTTACTGGTGGAGTGCATCGCTCAAACAACCTCTGAATGCCCTCAAATACCTGTAATTACATAGGTATATGAGCATACGGCAACACGTGAACATGAAAACAAGTGTGCGCCTGCATACAATACACACGCATGTCTGTATGCAAGTACAAGCATATGTATACGTATATGCATATGTGCGTGTGCGTGCTTGTGGGTGTGCATCGCGCGTGTCTGCAAATGTGTACCCATCTACTTCTGCGTAACACCTGTACATAGTGCTACCCATATTTACTTCCCGACTCCCTCTCAAGCACGGGCAAGCAGCTGCCAGACATGGAGTAAACGGTATTGCGCTTCCAGATCTGCAGCTTCCACAAAGGCCAACACACCACACCTGACTGCGATGGAGCAGGATAAAATATTCGAGCGTTGAAAACTAAACAGCTGGATGGAGTAGAGGTCGACTGGCTTCATGCCCGCCCCGGCATCCTCTGTCATCAGTGCCACATGCACTGTGTTGGACGAATCGATGGCTACCAGAAGTCGCTCCATTTGCGATGTACCAAAAGTCACCAATGTGCATTGGTCATCTGCAAGCACTGGAGCCCAGCGCATAAGCAAACCTGAGTTGCTGATGCCATATGAACTTGCATCAGACTGGGCGCCCTAAGCAGGAACTCCACTCCAACTCCACTATAAAGCTGCGCGTGCCTAAGCTTGAACCGCTAAACCGTCATCATTGAGAACTGAGCAGACCACACGGCGAAGCTTGCATGTCCCAGAATTGGACATCTTGGCCTCCTGAGAAAGCTGTTTAGCACACGCACACCTGTGTCTGTTAAAACAGCAACTTGCCTTCAAACTATATCCCAGTACTGTGTAAATCAGCAGGCGCCTTCTTCAAACCATGTTGCAACAACGCCGCGGCCACAGGGACGTCCTTGCAACGATCCTTCCTTGCAGGCATGACTTTCCACCCTGACACCGCCCTTACATGTGGCAGGCTTTCGAAACTACGGTCTCTACACGGAGTGCTTTTCGCGTCATGTATTTGGGAGCCAAGGACATACGGCCATGTGTCAGCGCAAACCCCTTTGAACGGTACCCCCTAAATAATCCCCCTTAAAGGAGTTCAGACTATAGCTCACATGACCCCCCAGCGACTGGGTAGTCGACACTACTGCTTTCCTTGTGCGGTTTAGGGCTTAGGGTTTAGGGTACATGCTCAAGTTGAGATTCCCCGTGCTTAGCTGATTACTGCAAGAATTCACATACTGACGCTGCTACTATCCTTCCTCACATGAGTTTAAGGGCTTAGGGATGTATATCCTATTATGATATAGTAGTTTCCATTTTCTTTTTCCACGTATACATATAAAGACAATTATTCTTACTATTATTATCTACAAGTGGGGGCTACTCTAAACCCTAAACCCTAAACCGCTAAACCGCTAAATCAAGCCCATCCTTGTTTGGATTGTTTGGAGGAACAGCCAGGTGATCTTGCGTGGGAGGGATGCGGCAAAGTGGAGAGCCCAAAGCAAGGTCCCACACCTTACTTGTGTTTGTTTTTTAATGCCTTACTTGTGTTTAGGGTTTAGGGTTTAGGGTTTATTGGACAAGTGGAAAAAGATGGAAACTAACCACAATACTTAGCCCACACGAGTAAGAAAAAAGGATATACATATAAGGATTCCATACACCAAAAAGTATACAGGATCCCTAAGCCTAATATTGATCCAGAATATTACTGAGGCAGGGTTTTGGGTCTTGGGTTTAGAGTCTTAGTATAGGCATTCTTCTCGCGGAATATATAGCAGGTATCTACTCCTTGAGCACCAGCAAGATACAAGCAAGCTGGCGGAAGTCTCGACGACTAGCATCTCCTGCGGCGTACTTGATTACAACCCAGGGCCCCTGTAGGATCTCAAAAAGGGAACCTCCCAATAAACCCCTAGTTTCCCCAATGTAGTTATGGGGGTCATTTCAGCTATAGTCTAAACTCCTAGTATCACCCTGAACGAGCCCTATCATAGGAACCCTGTAGAGTCCCCGATGTAACCCCTGTAAGGAGTTTAGACTACCGCTCCTTTAGGGGGCCTTGGATACAAGATTTAGATTTAGAATTGTTTCGTGGCGGAGGTAGAGACGGAATGTGCTTTCATCCCTTGCCGCGAAGAAGGAAAGCTCCAACCCCCCATAGTCCCCCTTAAATAGATAGAATATGGGGTATATGGGGATCTTATTCTAATATACACAAAACCATATTCGATCTACTTAAGGGGGACTATAATCATAAACATCCACACAGCTTGTAATGGTACTGTATTGGATTGGGAGTTTCCTTGGCTGGGGGTATGGGTTTTTCTTTCCTGCTAGCATTGAGATGCTAAATCTGGTGCCCAGTACCAATCTGATGCTCAGTACCTATGGGCATCTATAGGGAACATCGGTGTATCTCATGTCCTTGCCTTTTCTATTGTTTTTGTTTTGGGGGGTGGGGGGGGGGGTTGGTAGTGTGTTCAAACTTGCAGGCAGGCCAACAACCGTGACACAACCTATATAGCAGCAATACTGAGAACAATCCTGATGAGACTTGAGACGTCGTGATCCCTTTCCCAATCCGGGCGTACGAAAAACAACCGGAAGGGTATTCTTGTAAAGGAAGTCCTGCAACACCGCAAGTACCCTGAATCCCAAGAAATCATGCAACCTACCATAAATATGCATATGGGGTTTCCAAAAACAGGGGACCCTTCTTGGGAGTCCAAGTAATCAGAATTACAATATATTGGGGACCATATTGGGATCCCTGTATTTCAACGATGATCCAGTCCTCCGCCAAGAACATGTCTGTAGCATCATGAAGCAGGTCAAGCTTCTCTGTTTCTGACTCGTTGACCTGACTTCCTGCCAGCTCCTTGGCAGAAGAGATACTTACTGGGCGTTAGAAGGGAATAAGGGAATATGACTCCTATATAGTTTATTGGGGTTAGAAGGGAATGAGGGAGTATAATGCCTATATAGTTTATTGCCCTATCCCCTACTAGATTTGCTTTTCTTCCGATCGTCCGGCTGTACCATGGGAAAGGATTCGGCGAGAGCGCTGGCGGAGTCATCGGTTCAGGGTTTTGATGCGGTGGTGAAAGTGGGGCTCAATCATTGCAAACAAGACGGCAGGAAGATACTCCGCGGGAAAGCTCCAAACCCGCAAACCCTGCTGCATCCAATCTACAGGGACTCTGCTGGCAAGCAACCAATGGCCCAGTTCAGTTTGAGAGAGCATTTGCGCAATAAATCCTAAAACTCCAAACCCAAAACCCTAAACCTCCAAACCCTGGACCCTAAACCAGACCCAGTCTCTCCAACGTGTGCGCCATCAAACTTGTAGATGTCAATCTGTGCAGCACTCACACATGACAGTCCCTTTGAGGGGCCTATTATGTAGGTGGGGTTTAGGGTTTGGGTGAATAGCGGGAGAAACGAGGATAGATACTCTCCCTGCAGCATGGACATCCATTTAAGTTAATCCAAGGCCCTAAACCCCAAAACCTACAATACCCGCATATACTCCCCATATTGTCTAAACTCCTAGTATCCCCCTTAATAGACCCTATAGCAGTCCCCTATATATTCCCCTATATATCCCCCCTTTAAGGATCACCTTCAGAGCCCTAAGTAGGTTCCCCAAAGCATTCGTCAAAATAAGGACAACTTTGAGGATACCGGGCAGACAATTCAAGGAGCGACTGGGGTCCCCCCTGAAGTAAGAAAACCATGACTGGGTTCCTTCTACATAGGGGTTATATGGGAATAATAGAAAGGAAAATGGAAACTAATATAGTATATTAGGGGTTATATAGGGATAATGGAAGAGAAAATGGAAACTGATATTAAGGAAATTAAATTACCATAAGAATATGGGCATCTAGTAAAGAACAGGGCTCCCTTATGGTAGTAACTTAATTCCGGTTTCTTGACAGCGTATAACCTTATTGAAGTTGACGACGGTCTATGTAAGGAAGCGTTAGGGTTTTCATGTTAGTTCGTGGGAAGGCCATCCCCATGTAACCAGGGGCCTCCACTTGAAGCTGGTAGACGCTAGAACTGCAGTGTACTGCAACCGAAATGTGAAGCTAAACCCTCAACCTGAGACCCTAAACACTGAACCCTAACCACAATGTTTGGCAGCATTCCTCCTGCTTAAGGGGTCCTGAACCTCCCATCTGGTTCAATATTAGGTTTGCAGACTTATCTGGCCTAGTCGTAGCCCTGAATTGAAACATGAGCTAGGTAGGGTTCAGGGTTCAGGGATAAGGGTTCAGGGTAGCCGTATATGGTATAGGCGCTTGAACTGGAAAACCCAACAGACAAGAAACTGGAGCATGACATGGGCACAGGGATAGTACAAGGCTCATTGTGTTTGGGGGCTGGGTCAGAACATACCGTGCAACATTAATCGTGAAATTTCGGAAGGAAAGTAAATTCCACGGACAATGGGCTGCTGGCAATGACTTGGGTATCCACCAGACACGAGAAACGGTGGTCTCTATGATGTCCATCATCCCTCGATGCCTGCAGAGTCCTTGCAAGCGCTCTCTGTTAATCAGCTTTGACTATCTGCACCTCCGTTGTTCTACTCCTGCTACGTTTTCGACCTGCTATTCTTCCCAGAATTTCCAACATTGTGGTCACTATCCGTTTTGTACGCGATGAACTGTTTTGTAGAAAGCTCTAGCATTGTTGCATGCTGATCTTTACCCTATACCTTTTGTTGAACGTGGACTCTCTGAAGTGCCGCCATTCTGCAGCCTCCACCCTAAAACCTTTGTAGGGTTCAGGGTTTAGGCTCTAGGGTTAGGCTGTAGGGTTTAGGGTGTAGGGTTTAGGGTCTACGCTCTGGGGTTTAGGGTGTAAGCAGCGGCCTTCTTGCTGTCAGCCAGGAGGAAGATCCGAGAGCGACCCACCACGGCACGCAACGGCTCCATCTGTGGCACACCGTCAACCCCAACCCCTAAACCCCTAAAACCCTAAACCCCTAAAACCTTAAACCCCTAAAACCCTACCCGTTGGAGATAGGATTCGTATTAGGGATTAGGGTTTGAGGTTGACGATTTAAAGAGCAGGGATTCAGGCTGTTTTAATTGGGGCCTTTTGGGGCCCAGGAATAAGAGTCCTGCTGTTCTGGTGGGGTGATGGAGACACCGGAGTTAAAGCAGGTACCCAAATGAGGACTACAAAGTTGTGAGCGTCAGTCAACAGATGATCACTATGTCCAACACACGATATACCTACTGAAAGCCTGCAAATTCGTGATCCTCATAAATTGCTGTTCCTCCAGAGCTTCCGAAGATTCAAGTTTGGGGTCTTAAGCGCTTCGGGGCTCCAAGATGTCTGGCCAATGGGTCATACCCTCCAAGGTCACTTCAACCCTAAACCATCCTCAACCCTAAACCCTCCTAAACCCTAAACCCTCCTAAACCCTAAACCCTCCTAAACCATACCCTCCTAAACCCTAAACCCTCCTAAACCCTAAACCATCCTAAGCCCTAAACCTGCTTCTGAAAACTGCGAACCTGCTCATTGCCTTGACTGCTCCACAGCACCGTCACCTTCGCCTTCCCCTCATTCGTCAAGTCCTCCACTGCTTCAATTAGGGTTTAGGGTTTAGGGTTAGGGCATTCAAATCTCCATACTCCACCCTGAACCCTCAACCCTAAAACTTGGCTACTGCCCCCACTCAGTAACAGTAAATGCTAGGTGTCCAATTAAGGGCTGGAATAGTGGGCCCTTTTCGTTATAGATTATACTACGGCAGCTAATATTTAGGGGTACCAGAATGAGACCCTAATTTTGGGAACTACCATGAACTACCCATATCCTACAGAAGTACATGAACCCTGAAAGTTCTATAAAACAGGCCGACTGAACTTCAGGCGTGGGGCGTACAACGAGCACGCATCACCGTCATAGCCTAAGACGGCCAACGCATGAAGCGTCTGTGAGGGCACCACCAGCGACCACTGCCTTCAGTGATTCATGAGCATGGCAAAGTTCTCCGCTCAAAGCATGCTAATCGACATGGACCGTGAACCAACAACCCTAATAGGCCTAAACCCTACTATTAACAAGGGGATTCTGGTAACCCCCCGCCCAAAACAAGGACCCAATGACTGTCGTGTCACTCTTATAAGGTCCCTATTGTAGGAGGGGGTGGGTTGCCAAAGGTTGCCATAATCTTAGGGTTTGGGGTTTAGGGATCCGCTAGGACCATTACGTGAACTCAGGTTCCTTTCCATGTTCCATTTTCTGTTCCATTTGATTCCCCAGTTATTTGGCAAATATCCCTGAACCCTACACAGTAGTTTCCATCTTCTTGTCCATTCTCCCTATAATCCCTCATAACCCTATATAACCCTGTACATCCCTATGTAACCCTATTATGCCTAGCTGTATACGTATTACATAGCCCTATATCATCCTGTAATCCCCCTCACCACTTCCAAGCTGCAACTCCATATCTTGACGGGCCGAGATGGTAGGAAAATGGCACCATCTCTTAGGTGGTCTTGTACCTGGGGTTTGGGGTTTAGGTGGTTGAGGGTTGAGAGGTCAAGGGGTTTAGGGTTGAGTGGCTTAGGGTTTTGGGGTTTAGGGCTTAGGGGGCTTAGGTGGTTTAGGGAGTGAGGGCTCTATGATTTCGGGTTCCGTGTTGGGATAAAGCAAACATGGAATTTAGCTACAGTCCCAGCATGCAAACCCCTTTTTGGACCTTAAAAGAAATTATATCCAATAATGACCCAGGCTTGGGCAATGCCAATGCCTCCGAGCGAAGTCAAATTCTCGGCAGCCTGCGTGAGCTGATGGAAGAGTCGCTTCCACTCAGCCTAGGTTCCCATAACTTCCAGGAAGAAAACATTTCTCTTTGGTGTTAATATACCTGAGGAGCCCCTAAGACAGAAACTTCATACTATATATATATATATACATAACCCGCATACACCCCATACAACTGTTCTTACCCCATTCACAGAGACCCTAAATTGCAAACTCAAAATCTCCGTAGCTCGGGATCCGAGTGTCTGGCAGCTGGAATGCAAGCTCCAGGAATTCGCCCCCAAAGGTGCGCAGAACGCGAAACCTAGCATTTAGGGTTTAGGGTCTTTGCTAAAGCCCGGGCAAGGTTCTGAGTCTTAAGGAGGCTTCCTTGCTGTTTTTTTGGAAGAGGATGCTTCATTCCTTGGAACAAAGAAAGATACCACAAAAATCCTCAAGCAAAATGTACCTGCCGGAGGGGTCCGGGAACCGCCAGGAAGGATGCTGGCGTGCTGCAGCTGAAGTGAGCTGACTGCAGCTGCAGAGGTTGCACCTTAGCGTGGGGCTTAAATGGCCTGGATGCCAAAATTGACGTTTACGAAACGACAAAAATGGTCGCCTTTTTCGAGTTGCTCTCTGAAGCACGCGTGCGTGTAGGGTCCCGAGATTGTTACACAAGCGGCCTCGACTTTGTCCACTTGCTAACCACTGTTCTTGCAGGTGGCGTTGCTCTAACGACTCACGCTCATCAAGGTCAACGCGGCAACCAATTAGTATGGCCACGGCCGTCTGCCAGCGCGTGAACAAGTGGAGTTTCATCCTCAACTCCAAACTCTCAACCCAAAAGCCAACTAAGGCCAGCACAATGTTGCATCCGGCACAAACCAGAGAAGCAGTGTGTGCCTGGACTTTTGCGGGGCCATACAAACGGTGCGTGGTGTTTGGTGCAGACTTCATAGGCATTGACGCTTTGACAGCTGTACTGTAAGCTGCCCTCAACGTCAAATTACCGCAAACACATGCAAGGAAAAAGGGCGTCCCCTCATGTCCCCTCATTACGGAATTTGCGCATGCATCATTCAGATCCTGAGGCCGCTGCACACAGGACGGAAGTAGTGAGAGCGATTGGGCGACATCCGCCGGCATCTGCACTTAGTGGCACGAAGTCATGCTCGGCGAGGTTGGACTGACCACCGTACTGGAGCGTCAGCGAGACAAGGTCCCATCAGCAGTATTGCGTGGCTCTTGTGGCTGAGACTGTTGGATTTGCAATGCGAGCTTGGAACGCTCATTGCGCCAACAAATGAGCTGCCATTCCCATCTAGCAAGCTTGAACGAATCCTATGCATGTTGACCTGTAAACTGTGAACAGTCCAACCAACAGGAGGCAATGAAGACTTTGAGCCGTGCAGCTTGAAGTGGGCCCGTGTCAGTCTAAGACATGACGGCGATGAAGTTTAGGGCTTCTTCGGTTGCTCTTGACGTGTTTCTGGTTCATCGTACACGTATCCGACGTATTCTGTCCAGTCTGCATTGAATTTTGTCCATCTTGTCTTCCATTTGACTCACTCTCCATGGGTGTAGGGTTTAGGGTTGATTGGCATTAATAATATATCCCTAAACCCTGAAACCCGAAATCGTCGTTTCCTCGTTCTCTTCCATCGCCCATATACATCCCTTGAATCCCTATACATCCTTCTACTTCCTACATAGCCCTGCATGATCCCCATATAACTCCGCAAAATCCCTACATAACCCTTGCACCTTCCCCATACAACCGTACACCCCTACATGCCCCTACATTATCCCTGTTTAAACCCTACATAATCCCTATGATGGTAAGTACACAGTCAAGCTCGCAGGGCCTTTCTCGCCATTCAGCTTGAGGATCTGCGCAATGTCTTTTGCCAGCTCCTTCAGAAACTTGAAATCCTGAGCCACGAGGTTATTGGGGTCTAGGGCTTAGGGTGTGTAGGGTTTAGGGTCCTTCAAAATCTTGAAATCCTGAGCCGCAAGCTGAATTCGGGATATGCGCATAATTTCTCCAGCAGCAGACATCCCACCGCAACTCTCACAAGAACCTTGCCTTAAATGTTTGCTTGATTCCCCAAGCTTGCGAGTTTGGCCATAGCATCACACCACTAGTCAAAAGTGCATCATGCCTGGGAGACGCCGATGCCCACAAAAATCACCGACAGCGGTATGTCCATGCATTCCCTGCCCCGAGCAGTGCCACAAGGAGGCATGGGTTGTGCTAAGCCCCCGACTCATTGATAATGACTGCCATGGTATAATGGTAACCATGCGAGGGCGCCTATTTCTTCCTATATATACATGTATATACACCCCATATAACCCCATGTAACCCTATATCTCTATATATATATATACATATGCATACCCCTATATGACCCCATGTAATCAACCCCTATGCCCTGCACCCTAAAACCTAAACCCATACCACTAGTACTGGGTGCTGACAGGAGGTGTAAAGCAGCGCACACAAAAAGAAACTGGCAGCCTGATTTGTCGGACGACCTCTTCCTGATCCTGGCACTTACTGGTGGTCAATAGGGAATGGGGTTTGGATTTTGGGGTTTAGGGTTTGGGGTTTAGGGAATGGGGGAATACATTGGGGTTATACAGGGAAAATAGAAAAGAAATGGAAACTACTACATGATAATGAGGTATATAGGGGGGTTATAGTAGGGAATTGGGGGCAATGGATGCCTTTTGTGGACCCTGTCTAGGGCTTTAGCGGTGTAGGGTTTGCCCCTGCATCGCCCCCCAGCATGATCACCATCCTAGTCCCTCCTTGCCGACTAACCACCAGCAAGCCAATGCGGGCTCTGTCAAGACTCAAGGAAGTCTGCAGAAAGCAAATTCGGAGCCTTCTGTCCCTTCTAGTCCTTTTTTTTACAGCACATGGGTGGGCGATGGAACTTCTGCAAAAAGATGTCTCCCCTTTATGAATATTTCATAAAGGGGAGACATCTTTTGGCAGAAGTTCCATCGCCCACCCATTGAATATGTGGAAAGACGGCGGTCGCCTATAGCCCCCCCAAATATTCTGATCCTGTTCATGGGGACTCGCTAAAAAAAATCCTCATGTTTGGAAACCGCCCATACTCCCCTGAATAGGATAAAAACCTCCTGCTAAAGGGATCCCCAAACGGAACATCATCTCAAGTATGAATTAACTGAGATGTTGTTCTACCATTCGCCTCAAGCTGAGCCAACAGGAACCGGATGCCTGGCCTTTAGCACATGAAACCACCAAAGAATGCGAAAGCGTTTTCGAACAAGCAATGAAGGCTGGGCAAGTCCCAAGACCTTCGAAAACTGCGGAGCAGTGTTCGCCCTGTTCTGCACATGTCCAGACACCCCCTCATTGGGAGATCGCAATTCAAGATCTTCACACTGGGAGTTCTGAACAAGGGCGCTCAGGTCGATGCAGTCTTTCTCACGCTGGGTAGGCATACTACGAAACCCTGCTGTTGCGCTGTCGATTATGGTAACTCAAGGGGATACAGGTTATAACATGGTTTTAACATGAGCGTTTGCCTACCTAGCTCCATCAATGCGAAATGTAAGATCGCAGCTCATTGAGGCCGTGGGCATCCACCTCCATGCAGATTGAAGCAAAAGATTGCACATCTTCTCAATATCTCTCAATGTTATCCCTAGGGTAGCAGCAGTTCGCATATTCATATAGATATATATACACATATATGTGTGCGTAGTGATAGTTAGGCTGGGTTGCTTGTTCTGTATCATTCGGCAATGGTGCACAATAATCCTCGCCCCCCTGATGATACATGTTTTCCACAGAGTACGGTTATATCAGATGGGAACCCGGTTGGGAGCGGTTCTCCTAGATTGCTTGCCTGGTGGTGATGGACATCCAGCTGAAGGATCTGCTCCTGACTAGGGCGAACTGGCCCGCTCAAAAAAGATGTCTTCAACCTCTAACAAACACCTCTAAACCAATTAATTGTAGGTACACGTGTACAAAGATTGGGATGCTTCGTATTGGGGTTAGCTGAGTATGTCTTCTTCCACCAGATTAGCAAGGCGACTGAGTTCGGATGCTGCGTCAGAAAGATCACCTTCAGGAGCACGCCAAAGATGGTGAAGTACATCCTAGGCAAGACTATTAATTAAGACACACTATCCGATAGGAGACTAGAGATCCAGACACAACCGGGGCTAGCTTCTCCCCCTTCCAGAGTATATCCCTGCTAAACCCAGGCAAACAAAACCAAAAGCACAGCATGCGCACGGAGACCTTATGAGCAACAACAAAAGACAAGACAGGCCCAAAGCGCCATGCAAGTATGACGAGAGGGTTGTGACCGAAATGGTTAAACCCTAAACCCTAAACCCCTTGGACAAGGAAGCCAACCTTCCTGGGATACATGGAACCCCCATTGTTGGCAAACTCGCAGTTGTGATGGCAACATACCGGTGGCTGGCAGGGCGCAAAGGAATAGCGTAGGGATGGTAGTTATTGGGAATTATAAAGGGACGACTGCAGGGACGCATTCCCCTCCTGTCCCTGGCGATGCACCCAGAATTGGTAGGGATGACCCATGAAACATGTGACATGCAAAGCTTTAAAATTGGTTACTTGCCCGGTTCCCTGCATTATTGCCAAAAAACTTCCAAGAAAGCGCAATCTACTGTCATCACGATGCTCTACAAAGCCCAGCAAGTGTAGCAACACCGTAACCCGCCCCCCT